TAGGCCTGAACATGTAATAAAATCAGATAATAAATAAAGCCAAATATAACAATTTATCTAAGCTCGAATTCTGAACCCTAAACCAGAGATTCTGGGTTCGATTTCCCAGCAGAGTCGCCAGAGCTGTCACACCTCCTTTTTTACCTACACCCCCGGGAAAGGGTGTATAAAGGAGTTTTTCCACTTGAAGTGACAATCGAAATGAGATTTATTTATTTGAAGATTCAGAGTTGCCACTTGAGATAATTTGTGGTGTCCCAAGTCACCGGTTCAAAATCCTGAATCGAAGAAAATATTGACTCTGTTTAACAATCCGCGAACCAGAAATCCAGGTAAGGAATTCTGTTAACCCGAGAGAAGGTTTTAGGTATTCCCGAGTTCCGTGGTTTTAGCACGGCCGCTCAACTGTTATATTTAGCTTAGTTATCTGATTTTAAACAATTATGAACCTACGTGCAAATTTTGACTTTTAACCGCTTTATTCATTTTTAGAGAAAATTGCAACGTCATTAAAACACACCTCAAACCACGTCACATAAATGCACCCGCGGTCTTCGACATATTTCAGCATCGTTGAGATTTGAGTCACATAAATGCGCACCCGAATTTAGGAAATCAATTTATTAAAATAACGCGCCTAAAGCAATTATGCGTTTATACCCCACTCAATCCGTAAGCCCAAACATTTTCATGACCAAATAATATCCTTAGGCTCAAACAAACAATTTTTTACAAGTCTAATTTATTCCTTTTCTGTTCCACCATTAACAACTTCAAGACACTTACAGGGAATGCATATAACGGAACTACCAAAAAAAAATTAGATTTCAGAATATCCTAAACCAGTACTACAAATCATCATATATGCGTTTGTCTATCACTGAAGAGGTGCATAAGCATATAAGCGATAAAAGGTTCACAAATCATTCATCCTCCGATCAAAACAGTAAAAAAACTTAATCCAAACCATTCATACATTAGAGAGTAATAAATTGACGGAAATACACTTAAGCCAAACAGAGTATGAAAAACGAGGAACCAAACCTCAAAATGGATCAGCACCTTACTTATGAGGCAGTGTTAGACTCAGACACGACAAACCATGGATGGAGCTGAAACGGAACCCATGAACAATGACCACGGACAACCATGAAGCTCGCCGGAGAACTCAAAAATGGACAGAACTTTGACTGGGTGAGAACAGGGTAGAAACAGGCTGTCTAGGTTGGTTTTCTTAGCTGTGTTGCTGCGTTTTCCAGCAAAGCACTTGGCATAAGTTCTGGTTTTTCCGGTGGGGTTGGTTTCCGGCGAGGAGTCACTGGACGGAGTAGCAAGAGTCGTCGACGGGCTGGCGAGGTGTGATGGGGCGTTAGGCTGCTGGGAGCAGCTATCAGAATGAAGAAGAAGACCAGTGGGGAAAGGGGTCGTTTGGAGAAGGCCACGCGAAGGGGGGTGGGGGGTCGTGAAGAAGACGATGCAAGGGGGGTCAGGTTTCTCTGTTTTTGCGCAGCTTTTTCAGCTGCCACTTTCAGCTTTTCCTTTTTTTTCGTTTTCAGTCCTCCTTCGTTATCTCCCTTTTTTCGTCATCTTTTCGTTCAACTTTTTTTTGTTTCCTTTTTGTTTTTCAGCGTTTCGTTTTTCATGCGCAACCTTCGTTTCAGACCCCCTCCCCCTCGTTAGGTGTTAGCTTATTTATATATACATAGGTCTAGGTTAGTTTTTGTAGGGTTTTTAGGTTAATGGGTATGAGCCTAGGAATTATGGGCTTGACATTGTGGGCTAAGTCCATAATTAGGCCTTAAATTGGGTTGCTCGAGCCCAAGTTCTATTCTTTCCCTGCAAACGAGATTAAAAATACGGCCCCATTTATTAATTAATCCTACTATTCAAATAATTATTAAAATGAAACTAACCATTTAAACAGATCTATGTTTGGTATTTTCAAATATCATATTAAAATAAAAATACGATACTATTGTTGTATATATATATATATATATATATTAAGATTTTTTTTAGATTAAAAATGACTACAAAATATTAATGAACCTATTTTGTGATTTTTTATTTTCTTGTAATAAAATTAAAGTAAAAGAGTCAAAATTACTTAAAATATCTATATTATGCCTAAATTAAATATTTACGCGCTAAAATATGAAAAATCTTGGGGAGGGTCAAAAATCACATGTCTACAAAGTCTCCCCATTGCAATTGGCTTTTGGTCAGGAGCCAAATATTTCCCATCTTTGGATCTTTGGTTGTGCGATATATGTTCCAATTGCTCCACCAAAACGCACAAAGATGAGTCCTCAAAGAAGGTTGGGGATATATGTTGGATATGAATCTCCTTCTATTTAAAATATCTAGAGCCGATAACAAATCAATGTGAACAAGAGGTTCAAAAGATTATTCATTTACAAAATATTGCAAATCAAT